TTACACACACTAAAAAACTCTACATTTGCACACACACATACATATATTTCTACGTGTGTATGCATGTTTCTTAGAGACATTCAGTTCCCGTAATGTTGCATCCTTTAACTAGTGAAGGAAAAATTACATAGGATTCCTCAGAGGCTTCCAGCTTGTAATATACCTGGTTCATATATGACGTGACAGATGTTCAGAATATGCTTATTTGCTCAATGTTTTAAGGTGGCTAAGCAGAATCTAATTAGATTCTAATAGTTGAAATTAGCCATGGAATCTACAGAGTGCCCTAATTTTCAGTGTTGTAGCATAGAGCTTCAAAGCAAAAAATCAGCATATTTTGGAAGTGTTAGTAACGTGCATGTTGATGCTACTTTTCTGTACTCTATTGAGCTAAGACCATATAAAATTGTAGGCAAATTGTCATACTATTTACTATCACTGCTATTTACATCACTCTATGAATCAGTCTATCACTCTATTTACATCAGTCTACGAATATTTACATCTAGACTTGATGTGTAGCATTGGGTCACAAAGATATACCCTGTGGATGGTTTACTTGGGAAGGATCTGTTTGCAGAACACCACTAGTGTCTGCAGAGGTGATGTGTACAGTCTGTTTCAATGGTTATTTAATCGCTCTGTTGCAATGAAATACATTCCCTTGTATTCAAGAATTCCCCTTCAAGAATGTGCAAACTGTATTCGCAGACGGTGCTTCCAGAAAATAGCCATTTTATTTGTATATTTACTCTTTTCACTAAGTGCCCAATCTAGAATTCAGAAGTGCATGTGAAATTCATTAGATCATACAGGTTGCACTTTATATTAAGAGACTACTTGTAAATATTTTATAAATAGGCAATAAATTATTAATACTTGTTATAAGTGTATAAGATGGGCTGCAGTGGCAGAGCTTTTAAGAAACCCTGCTTTAGTTTCAGAAGCTTCAGTTTGATCCATGTTCTGAACTTCTATTACAGGCCAAGCCTAATTATTTAGATTGACATTTGATTCATGGTCATTTTATTTAGCTAATCTAAAGCTAATAGAGATGTGATACCAGCCATAAAAGCGRTATCTACAAGGAAGAATTCTCTAAAATGTGCTCATAGCCATAAGTCAAAAGGACCAAAAAAGCTCAGGTGGATCTTTGATTTCTGATAACCATATTACAAACATGGCTCATTTGCATTGAATTACTCTAGGCTTATCRTAGAATCACAGCATGGTTGAGGTTGGAAGGGACGTCTAGAGATCATCTATCCCAATTCTCCTGCTCAAGCAGGATAATCTAGAGCACACTGATCAGGACACGGTCCAGTCAGTTTATGAACATCTGCAAGGATGGAGGCTGCAAAACCTTTGTGGGCAACATGCCCCAGTGCGCACTCACCCTCACATCAAAAAGAAAGTTGTTTGTTACTTTGTTTGCTTGTCCCATAATCAGATGGAAATCTTTGTATTTTCAGTTTGCACCTGTTGCTTCTTGTCCTGGGTATCACTGAAAAAAATCTGTCTCCACCTTCTTTACATTGTTCCTTCAGCTATTTATATACATTGATAAAATCCACCTGAGGCTTGCCCTTCCCACACTAAACAGCCCCAGTGSTCTCTGCCTTTCCTCGTATGAAAGATGCTGCAGTCCCTTAGTCATTTTAGGAGCCCTCCGCTGGACTCAGCTTTTTCCATCTCCTCTGTCACCAGGGTCCTTGCCCCATTCAGCTGCGGACTTCAGTTGTTTTGTTACTGATGCACTCAAAAAAGACCTTTCTTGTTGTCCTTGATGTTCCTCGCCAGATTAAAATCCATATGAGTTTTGCCTTCCTAGCCTAATCCATGCATGTTCAGAGAGCATCTCTATGTTCCTCTCAGTTTAGCTGTTCCTATTTCTACCTTCTTTGTACTTCCTTCTGATGTTTTGCCAGAGCTCCTTGTTCATCCATGCAGACCTTCTGCCACCTTTGATAGACTTCTTACTCATTGGAATGGACCGTTTTTGGCCTAGGAGAAGGGGATATCCTTGGGTATCAGCCAGTTTTTTTTTTGGATACCTCTTCCTTCTTGGGCAGTATCCCATGGGAATCTTTCAAGCATGTTCCTGAAGAGGCCAAAGTATGTTCTCCTGAAGTCCACAGCTGTTACCCTACTTCTTGCTCTGTTCCTTCCTCTCAGGATTCACTGTTTCACAGCCACTACATCCAAGGTTGCCCATGACCTTCATATCCCCAACCAGACCTTCCTTATTCATAAGTATGGAGTCGAACAGAGCACCTCTTGTTGTTGTTGGCTCCTCTGTCACCTGTATCAGGAAGTGGTCATGGATGTACTCCAGGAACCTTTGGGGTTCCATATACCCTGCTGTGTCCCTCCAGCAGGTAAAGAGGTTCTTAAATCCGCCTTTTGACGAGGACCTGTGAATGTGGGACTACTTCTAGATGTCTATTGAAGCCCTCATCCACTTCTTCCTGTTCAGGTGGCCTATAGCAAACACCCACAACAATGTAACCCATAGTGGTCTGCTCCTGAATCCTTACCCATAAACTCTAATTTATCACATCATTCATCTCTAGACAGTGCTCCATACGTTCCCATTGCTCTCTCACATGAAGGATGCCTTCCCCTTCTCACCACCCTGTCCTATCCTGCACAGGAAAAGCCTGTATCCATCCTTTGTAACATACCAGTCATGTGAGCTATTCCACTGTGCATCTGTGATCGAGGCAAGATTATAGACCTGTAACTGCCCACACATCTCTTGTTCCTCTTGTATATTCCCCCCGTTGCCTGCGTTAGTGTAAAAGCACTTCAGAAAGCACCCAAAGCACGCTGATTTCTCAGAAAGGATGTTATGAGGTTTCCTCATAATGCTGTCTTGTAGCCACTTCCTTGGTAGCATGCTAAAGTTGCAGTGCTCCCACTTAAGCTCTGCTTTGTTGATTACATATTCTCTTTTGTTGGCATCAGCCTGCAGCATTTGCTTGCCAGTCCAGAGTAATGCTGCCTCACATGGGTGCTGCTGTCAGTGAATACTGTCCACTGTGGCCAAAATAGGTGTTGGGGTTGTCACAAGGGTGACAGCAGAAGCCAGAATCGCAAACTGGATAAATGCAGCTAGCAATCCCTCGAGTTTTACTTCCAGCATGCCCTTGGCCAAGGATGCTTTGGAGAATAAAAAAAAAATAGATGTGGAAAATAGACTCACAGTAGTTTTGTAGGCCAGCCTCTTGCAAGGTTTTACCTATGTCTGCTGCAGGAAAGCTGTGATAATCAGTGAGGAAACACACAGGTYTTTGCCTGTGGTCTTCAATCCGTAAGTGCTTTGCACACTTCAGCCCTTCAACTGCAGAAGTGCCTGTGAGAGGGGAAATATCCTGAAGCTCAGAAACAAAGTTGCAACCTTTTTTCYTTGGAGAATCTTCATCAATGTTTTCAGCCACTCATGGATCAAGAAAGATCATGGAGCACCATGCAAGACAGATGATGTCTGGCAGCTCTCTTCTTATCTTTCTCCAGCTGGRGCTCCAGTACTGCAGTTCTCACACTTCAAATACTCAGCTTCCCAGATTCCTCTTGGGACTGAGAGAACAGGAGGAGGGAAGGACTATGGCCTAATGAAAAGCTCATTAGGCCAGGACTTTTCTTCCCTCACCACCTCCAGATTACAGTCCATGCACCCTAGCTGGAGAATGGCTGCTCCAAAGGTTATAGGAGGTGAGCTTGTTTAGAAGGGAGGTGGTCATGGGGGAGGAAGGGRGCTTCCTTCCTGCAAAGAGTGCTGTGGTCATTGGAATTGGGAATGAAGATTAATTTTTCCAAGAAACAACCTATCCAGAATATCTTGTCCATCTTGGAAAGCTGGAAAAGACACAAAGCTTCTGCCCATCCCCCAGCTGCTAAGGGAAGAAGAAACTTGAGCACCCTGCTTTTTCTAGCCCCGTGCCATAAGCAGCAACCAGCTTTGCTCACAGCCTTTGCCCTGAAGCCTCTGCTTGAACTTGGTGTAGCTGAGAAGGCCATGCCCGTGTGGGGAGAGGGAGTCCCGGAGGTTTGGACACCTGTAGCTAATTTAACTCCTTCCTGCAACTTGTGGGACTCAGATGATGCTTTCAATTTGCTCAACCTCCTTTTCAGAATTCTTYTCCCACTCACTGGATACCAGGGCACATGGGCACCCGAGGACACCCCCTGGGCACCAGAGAGCCATTCTGTAGCAGCTGTATTTCTTTCAATCTTCAAGTGATTTATGCACTGGGAGGAGTATTTGGATCTAGTCACAAGGCAGAGAAGGAAAGGAAAGAAGGTGACTTTTGCTTCTTCAGGATGGGCTGGAGACACCTACTCATGCAACTGTACTAAAAAGCTGTAGCTAGTGCCTGCCAAGGCTCATAGCACAGTCGGCCCTCACAGGTTGTCTCTATCAGCACCACAGTGCCCTTGCCTTACTGTGGAGAGGAAACGTGGCTGCACGGTTGCACCCCTCTTGTCCCCCGACAAGGTCCTCTCCTCCCCACATTGGCACACACAGCATATGCACAAATGCAAGGGAAATTCAAGAGCTTGCTCCTTTAATATGCAATAAAAAAGCAACTCTTCCACATTCAGCGAGAAATACCATAAGCAGGAGCCCCAGGCTTGGCACCCTCCTCCCTTGCTGCCATCTGAAGTTAGGTAGCATGTGCAGTTTGCTTAGAAGGGTTTTTCTCTCCCTGTGCAAAGGAGCTCCTGGTTGTAGCAGGGCTGTTGGCATGAGATGACTCATGTCCTAGTCCACCTCTGTGCTCACCAGCTGAACAAACTACTCCAGAAACAGAATGTTCTCACTGGTGTAACAGTGCCTCCCTGGAAGGACCTTTCCTTTGGGTGACGTGGCTGCCCTGGCAGACACAGCTGCCCTGAAGGAATCTCTAGTACTGGCTTGATCAGAGAGACTCCCCAGCACCACAGCGTGATGTGGTGGAAGGCATCAGGGAAACTGACAGGCAGAAGTGAATCACACCAGGAAAAGAGGGGAGGAAAGTATAAAAAGACAAGAATTAAATAAACTGTGAAGGATTTGCTGAAGGCACATCCTAGCCCACAACAAACAGCCCCTTCAGCCCATGGACTGCAGCCACAGTAACTGGCTGTCTTGCAAAAGAAACATAGGCGTTGTGGGTAGAATTCTGCATAAACGAATGGGGAAGGGCAGGGCAGGAAGAGGAAGAGAGTATGTGAGTATGTGGCTATTGCATACCACAGGTACTTGGGCAAAAGAGACTACAGCAACAGGGAYGGACTACCATTTATATATATATATTTTTTTTCTAGCTTTACTGCTGTGGATCCCCAAGCTTTCCAGTCTAAGAGCRGTAGGCAGTGGGCTGGAGACTTGTTCTATGGAGGGGGATAGGAAAGAGACAGGCAGGAAAGATTTCAGCAGCCTCTCCTGCTTCTTGGGGAAGATTTGTGGTCACCTCAGCAGACGGAGAGATGGGCCACTTCTGCTTGGCCCACACTGTGCCAAAAAAAAAAGCCCACTGAACTTCCATGTTCTCTAGCAGCTTTAAAACTCCCCTTCACAAGTCTATTGTATGACATCCCTAAACACAACAGTGATTATCTGGAAGCTGAAAGCAGCTTAAAAATAAAAACAACTCAAAAGAAAAACAGGAATAGAATAGAGGAAGGGGACAGAGCCCTTCCCCTGCTGGCCCCTGGTCAGAGGCGAGCAAAACAACACACACAGCCTCTTATTCCACTGCACACCAGTCTGTAGTGTTCACAAGGCAAACATAGCATCATCCTCCTTTGCCTGCTTCCGATGATGGCTGGCAGCAGAAGGGGAGACAGATGTCCCTGCTGAGGAGCTGGACAAACTGGGTAGCCGGTCTGCAACTTTTGCTCGCTCTTCCAGGAACTTGTCAAACTCTGGAGCAAAGGCAGAGAGAGCATTAGCAAGGAGGGAGGTTTATGGAAGTGCCAAGCTGCCAGGAACAGCTGAAGAAAGGTTTTTGTCTGAGACTTTTACCTTCACTGGTGACTCCTTTTCCATCCTCTGACTCTCCCTGTGGAAGGAGAAGAAATGCATGGTAGACAATGAAATAGAAATGCAGAAGAAATGCAGGGTAGACAATGACACCTCCACAGATGTGGTGCTCTGCTTGCATGGAGAGAGATACAGGATGGTGCACCCTTCCTTCAGCAGTACAAGTGTGCTAAGAGCAGCCTTGAACMCTAGTTCCTCAGCTATGCCTCCTAAAAGACTAATTATACTAATAGAGTACTCAAACTCTGGTGTTCTTTTCCCTTCCTCATGTTCTCCCCCAAAGCAGGTTGTGCCACATGTTCAGAAGTGCCAGGACTATTGCATACTGCCTAAACTCCAACCCTTCAGCAAGAGCCAGGCCCCTCTGACAAGAGTGTTAGCTGCAGGAAGGCAGAGGTCATGAAGGTTTCAGCAATGTCAGATGCCACTATGATGGAAATGGAGACATAGTCTGGGGGGCTGGGAGAGACTAGTGGCAAAGAGGTTCTATGTAAAGGATAAGGGAATGTAAGCAGTGCTCGAGTCCTCATGGTTCTTGCCTGATAACTATCAGAGCCTCCCTACAACTGTTTGAGACTTGCACACAGATGCTCTGCACCAGGTGCAGCTGTGCAGTGGCCACCTTGGTCCTGCCCCTCACTTACCACATCAGTGGAGAGCCACTTCTCTATGTCTTCCATGAAATTGGCTTGAGGGACTGGCACCTGGGACAGAAAAAATGAGAGAGAGATGAAGCTGAGGAAAGAGAGGATGTTCTTGAAACCCTCTCCTGCTAAACCTCTTGTCCCACCATCCAGTAATGTCAGGTGTTTCCAAACCCAGCCAGTGCCAATGCAACTCTCTCCCTGCTACCAGTGCCACCATTCACCTTCCATCCCATCCACACCTAGACATGGATGATTTTCAGGATGTGTGCCATCAAAAGCATGTGAGGTCTTAAGACAGACTTTGGGGTATTAGCACTGGATTAGGCTTTACATTTAGGCAAGGGACCACTAGGTGGAAGTTGGCTGCTCACTGTTAGGCAGCCAGATAACAGGAGACAACTTTCCTTCACACTGCCTGTCTTCCACGGAGCAGTGACAGACCCAGTGATGGTTTGATGTCAAAGTATGTGCTGCTGCTGCAAAAACCAATGTACTAGGTTTGATATCAAATTGAGGGGGAAAAGGCACCTGCCTTACCTCCCTGGTAAGATCACAGAGCACAACARTATTTGACCTCACAAGAGACTCTAGGCACACATACTTCGGAGAGAAAATTCTCAACAATTAACAATTACTGGTCGGGAAGAACTCTTTAGGTCCCTGRCCAGTTTATGCAGTGAATAGATATTTTCTCAGGGAGATAACCTTGAAGGCAAACAAGATCAATTCAAACTCCAGATCCTTTTCTTCAGCCACAGGCTTCTGGACAAAGCTGAGCAAGGGCCAGCCCTTGCTAGAGGCTCCACATGCAGAAGCAGGAAAGTGCATTTGTAGGAACTTACTTCTCTGATTCTGAAAAATGTATAGTTCCCCTATTGTGAGGAAAACAGCAAGACTAAGTACAAGAGCAATCTTTTCTCACCAAGAAAAGGCAGATTTTCCCAAAACCATGGAGTAAGTTAGTTACCATGACTAGCAGACCTTACCAGAGCCAGACAGTTACCATGGCTGGCATGTAGACGGTTGGGAAGGGGAAAAGATGTGTAGGGTTAAGGAAGTTTCAAAGTGAAGTGGTTTTGTTTACCCTAAGAGGGACTCTTTGGGGTAGAAATGTATCCAAGCCAACTGSACAGCACATGGGGAAACTTTCTAGAGCAGATACCACTCTGGGCAGTGTCCATTTCCGGACGCAAAGCTTACAATCAGTGGGAGCTTTGTAAAAGCTCGTACAAAGCTTACAAGATGCGGGAGTATGTAAAGACTCAGCGTGCCTGAATGGATAAAAATGCAGGATTTCTGCTGCCAAAGACCAAATTCAACAGCGWGGAGGCTGTCATACAGAAAGCTTTACTTGAGGAAGGACTGGTACTCTGCTCATTTCCTTCCTTGGTCTCTGCTCCTGGCCCAGAAGAGGGTTGTTCCATTTATAACCTCTCCTGATGTCTGCTGTGCATCCTCATGTGCTGTACCAGAGCCACCTCGAGTCCAGCAGCCCCAGCTCCTTTCACCATTGCCATGATCTCACCATTCCTTGTCGCATCATCCACTTAGTCAGCTGGGCTCCATCACTGGAGACACCAGGTTCCCCCTGGTTGAGAGAAAGTCTGCACTGAAAGCTGCTATCACACAAGGTGAAGTACAGGGGAGGCAGTGGGTTCAGTGCTCTTGGGGCAGAAGGCATTGCTAGTGATGGCCCACCTCTCCGATTGCAGAGGGGAGTTGACTGGACTTGAAAATCTGCTAAATGGAATTAAACATAAAGTTCCAGGTAAAAAATTCCCCGCAGGCATAAGGAGGCCACCCTTTTATGGAATGAGTCACTTCCAAACTTCTCATACCTCTGGCAAGGTGGGGAGTTTGCTTTCCCCACCTCCAAAGTTTAAAGAACRTGGTATAGAGTCCAGGTATTAAAAGCAGGTTAGTTATTGAGGGTGTTATCATCACTCATGTTAAACAATTGATCTTTGTTCTAATGGACTGCACATTTATTATTGGTGGGGAAGAAGTACACTCACTCCTGGTGTGCACCAAAGGATCTGCAGCCACTTACCGCTCCAGTGTTCTGCTGCCGGGCATCCAGGGCGCCAGCAAGTCCTTTGGAGGCTTGAGGATCTTCGTACTTCATCCTGAAAGCATAAAGTTATTTAATGCACAGGCTGGTAAGCAGCCTGAGAATGTGAAGCAGGAACTGCTAGACGTATATTCAAGGCTGCTAACTGCACAAACATTCACCTCGCTACCTGCATCTAGAAAGGTGTGCAGAACTTCTGCTAAAGATGTCAGCCACAACAGATTATTAATCTACCCACTGTAAAGTATCTGAGTTACCACAGGAAAGCCCTTACACACTGAGGGAGGATGCTAAGGAATTGCATGAAAACAACCATCCAACAGACTACATTACAGTCTTAGAGAGCTGGATTCATCAGTGACACACATCTTATCTGAGGTTAACTATAGAAGAGAGATACATAATAAAGACTGATGAGAAGATTACAGCTACTATGGAAAGGACTCTAGCAACAAATCCCCGCATACTCAGCTGCCTTCACAGGCACAGTCACAGCTCAAAAACATCTCTTTAACCAAAACTATTCAAAAACTGATGGCTGCRGAGATTCACCGATCCATCTAAAGAAGATGAGAGTCAGTGAACAAAATAGCCTGTCGCTTCAGGATCTCCAGACACACCATTACAGCAACCTCTTTCCACACACTGAAACACCCCATCCATTATCTCCCTTGTCCCATTTCCTTGTCCCTTCTAGAATGCTGCCACACATGTCAAAGTCACACATCACCAGCTGATCCATGCAGACTGGGGAGAACAGTCCATCCATGCTGGAGGAATGAAGCCTCATCCAGAGGCTCTCCAGAAGCCTCCTCTGCAGTTGCTCCCAGGGCCTTCCTTGCAGCTCTAGGGGAGCATCAAATGGAGCCATTCCTTTTGGAGGACATGGGCCTGGGCCACCGGCGCTCAAACTTCTCAAAGAAGTGCTCATCAGTGAAGGGGCCGCTGTGGATAATGGCATCGAGGATGAAGTACAAGGCTGCCACCATGCCACTGATGAGGAAGAAGGGCAGGAAAGGCTTGAGGTGTTTCAAGCACTGCTTAACTGTGACGCTCATGAAGCATGGGGGCTCAGGAAGAAAGCCCAGTGATCCTGCCTGTGTCTCCTGCCAGCACGTCCTCTCAGGGAGCAGCAGGGGAAGGGCTCTATTTAGGGGGAAGGAGACGCTGAGGCTGTGGGCTGGTCTGTGAAATGGGAAGCCTGAGCCAGTAGGAGTAGAGGCTACCTGGCAGGAGAGCAAGTGCAGGCAGATGGTGGGTAGCGAGGAATAAATAGAAGATGTCTCGTTACTGCRAAGATCACAAGTCTCTGTCTGTTAAGAACTGAGCCATGTCGGAGGGGGATATAATTCCAGCCCTGCCCAGATCTACCTCAGCTCAGATGTCAGCCCCAGATCAGGCACGCACTGTTGGCACCAGTGTTTTTGTCCCACACAGATTGGTCCTGTCCCCAGGGTCTGCGAAACACCCGCTCTGTACCAGGAGATCTCTCCAGGCAGTACCCCTGCGTACCCTGACACACTCTCTGAGCAGGAATTTATAGCCCTGACTTAAGTGGTTCAGTGGCAGTCATGTCCAGTGAATTGGTCGGCACTAGCTGAGCCCAGAACAGCAGTGTTTGTGTGGATGCACAAAGCACTTTCTGATACCCCTAACATGCTCCTAGAGCAGCAATGTCATGGCCCAAGAACTGTAGCTTGGTGACAGTACAGAGGACAGAGTCAGTGGGATAGAACCAGAATTCCACCCTAAAAAAGCTTATCAAGTTCATGGAGACCAGACAGTTGGCTTGGGAAGCTCAGTGCTTGGACAATATTGAGAGTAACAAAATAGGTTGTAGGTTGACTATTAATCTCTCTGCCACTTGTACTAGAAGCAGTCTGAGGCAGGGGAATGAAAGAATCCTCAAGAAACCTTAGCTTGCCACTGCCCAGCTGTGAGACAAGATAGCCTTGTGGACTGAGATCAGGAGCAAAGGACTTTGAGGGCTGAAGGCAGCTAGGGGCCTACAACAGATTACATACTTCCTGCATTCAGTATTCTATACTTTAGGCTATATGGGCATTCATGAGCTCCCAAATTCAACATCATCCTATTGAGRGCACAGAGCAACTCAAGAGCTCAGAAACAGAGAATAAAATTTGCTCAGTCTCATTCCACACCTTCATCTCCCCATGTCGAGTCTCCAGCAGACTGTGGTACTACAGCCCCCTGATAGAGCAGTGAGAGACATGCACCAAAATACCCTCCCTTCTCCTCAAAGCCAGGAGGCCATTGTGAAAGGCAACTAACTGACAGCAGCAGGAAGGACGGCTGCAACAGAGCTGCCATCCACTATGGAGGTGGAACACTGTGCACTGAAAGGATGAACCTCTTTGGCATTCTGCTGCCTCCCGGGAACTGTAGCTGGTTGGGATCACAGCCCCTGTTCCCCCTCCTGCAGCAGGGCACCCCGCTCGCTCTCACCCTTACAAGAAAGCAGGGGCAGCGGGGGCTGCCACACTCACTCTTTGCGCTGCTCGGCCAGGGAGCTGCCCCGCGTCAGGGCAAACATGTCAAACTCTTCTTCCAGCTTGCCAGAGGTGTCGAGGGAGTGCAGCCCTGCACTCACACTGCTCGAGCCCAGGTCTGCAGGACAAAGAGCAGGGTAAGCAGGCAGCACAAAAGCAAATGGAAGGCCATGGGCTTGGAAGTGCTGAGTAAAAAGCTAATGTCAGAATAGCCCAAACTGTCCTGGACCCACTCCTGCATCCTTCCCCTGGGCAGCAGTGCAATATATGTGTTTGTTCAGCATTGTGGGGGTAACTGGCAGAATCAGTTTGTTTGCCTGCTCGGCAGGTAGTTTTTAGTTCAATCWCTGGCAGCACCAGCATCAATTTACTGCACTGATTCTGAAGGCTAGATATTCCTGAACATTTAAGACAGCAAAACTAACTCCATAACCTGTGGAAGAGGCTAACTTGTACTCCTGACAAGCACCTCCAGACAGATGAATGAATTTTCCCAACTGAGGTATCACTGGAAAGACCCTGACTTGATAAATGCTGCACTAGGTTGCTTGTAAAAAGTATCTTGCCAGTTTTCTACAGTTGAATCCAATCTGTACTGAATGTGCTTGCTGCCAATAAGAGCTTCAGGCACTGATATGTGGGCTGGTGCTATGTCCTGAAGACACCCCAGGACAGAGGGCTTTCTTGGTAAACATCCTTGCATGTCTTGGATCCTGAGAACAAGATACTAGTGGCTGTCTTTGCAGCACAGCTGAGCAGTTTTCTTCTTCCAGATCTCAGTGATTAACCTCACACTACACAGTGAGAGGCAGCAAATGCTACTATGGATCAGAGGGACCTTCCTGCCCTGCTGGAAGCAGCCACAGTCTAGTGCTGACGTCCCTCTTAAGTCACATCCACGTCCCACATAAGCTGAAGTGTGGATGCTGAGGCATATGCTTGTGTCCCTAGGCACATAAACATTTTTTTGTGAAATTACTAGATGGCAATACACCCTATTTCTCTAGATTGTTTTATGTAGATGGCTAAATTTTTTGGAGAGGGAATTTGAAGACATTAAAGGATTCCCAGGACAGAAGGAGGAGTGAGGGGAACCATGCATGGCAACATACTCATTCCAGCCAGCTGAGAGGAGAGATTGTTGGTGGCTTCAGGTTGTCTCACTGCAGAAGGAGCACTGGGTCCCAGATCAATCAAGCTGTTCTCTGCCTCATTTGGCATCTTTGGAGGAAAAAGGGAAGACAGTGAAGATTTTTTGAAGTCCACACAGCTTGCATTCCTTGATCCCAATTTGTTACCACTGGGAAGCCATTCTATACCCGCTAAGGCGTATTGGCTGGGGAGCCTTTCTGTGCAACAAGTGGGGCAGTGATCAGAGCACTGGCTGAGGAGAGTGTCCCAGGGCAGAGCAAGCCCTGGTAGTCAGTGTTCCAGCAATGCTGGATGGCCAGCAGGTCAGCTGATGGCTCAGAGGACAGGGCAGTGCTGACACAGGGAGGTTACAGCTTGAAGTGGGGCAGAGCAAACCTCTCTGCAACTCAGGACATAGCAGGACCTGCAGGATGTAAACCAGTATACACAGATGGGAAGTAGCTCTGAGTTACCTTAACAGGCTGTCCAGTGCGAAGACGCTCGAACCTGCAAGAAAGATGAGAGAAGAAATTTCAGTAATGTGAGTTTTCCAAGTGCTTATACATCTCAGTCCTCAGAGATTCCTCACTCAGGCTTGGCATAACCTGCCCCTTCCTACATAATAGCAAATAGGGACCATGGATCAGGGCCTAATTTCCCTCCAAGACAGGAGAAGGAGACAGCAGAAGCCACAAAGCTGATGTCTCCAGAGGTGTGTTAGGGCAAAGCTACTTGTTCTCCTTCAGAGCCACTCCTAACCAATGTGGTTCAAACCCAGCTCTCTTTCAAACAGACACAAGAGACTAAATTCTCCTGACTTCACCCCATCATAAGAGATGAATTTGGCAAAATGAAGAGAAAAAAAAGGGGGGAGGGGTCTTGTCCCCACTTGCACAAATCTTCTCTTTTCTCGTCTGCCTCTGAGCTACAGAAACAGCTCTTTCCATGCAGCTCCCTTCTCCTCCTTCTAGGCTGGGGCAGGCATCTCTACACTGCTCTCAACAACTTACACAGTGGCTTTGAAGGAACAAGAAAAAAACAGTAAGAGCTGAGGAATGGACCCATTCTCAAAGGTGGATGATACAGACTGATACACACTAAATATGACAATCATGGTTAAAAGAAAAYGCTGAGATAGGAGGCCCCCAAAGGGCAGCAAACTCCCACAGAGGAGCAGAGCAGAGAAGGGAGGAGACAGGTACCTTTCATGGCGCAGAAACACATTGTTGAGGTTGTCATTGATGAGGAGCAGCTCCTCGGTGAGCTGCTCATGGAGGATACGGGGGATCAGCTCCAGCACACGCTGCTGCATCGCTCTGCATGTCCKATTCAGCTCCTGCTCACAGCAAGAGGAGGTTACCACAAAGGTCAGGCCAAGGCTGAGCATTCACAGATTTGGAAGCCTGAATGGGACAGTCAGAGGCTAATGTGATATACCAGCACATATTAACAGGAACAGATATTGGTATGGGAAGCTCTTCTAATGGAGGTAAACTGAGCCTGAGTTTTGCAGTTCTTCATTTGCTCTGTTCCTGCAGTGAACCTGTGCTTCCAGTGCAACATCATGGAGGAAGAAAGGCCCTCAAGAATGATGTAACACTGTTCATGTGAAATGATTCTAGCCTCAATAATGCAACCTACTTGGCCAAGGGAACTCTACCTTCTATATGTCCTCCTCATACTGTCACTCCCTGATAAGTCCCACACTAAGCTATCCAGGACAACAGTTCCCCATGCCTGGCATACATAACACCTCACTGAGTCACGGCTAAACAAAGCTCCACGTGCCAGCCCTCTGTCCSCACCATTCACTTCCTTGTGCTCCTTACTTGCAGCAGTTCCAGGTCGGAAGTCTCAGCCTGGGCTGGCACCAACTCTGTCAACATCTCCGACATCACCTTCATGTTCCCATTCACCACTTCCAGCTCACTGCGCAGTTTCCCGATCTACAAAAGGGAATGGAAGTCACTGCTCAGAGTGGGATGACTGAGGAGATTGCTGAGCCACCTCTGAATGGCAGTGCACAGTGTGTGTATATCCATACAGCCAGAGGGGAAGGCCACTGCAGAACTCATTTATCACTGCTCTATTGGGCTCTCAGGAGCACCCAGCAGAAGGAAGGTCATGCAATTACCATCAAATTCCTTTGCTGGTAGCAGATGCCAGGCCCTCACCCAAGCCCTTTGTCCCTTAGGCCTAACCTTGATGTTTAACAGCTACCATAGGCTGTGATTATAATTCAAGTCTCTCCCCTGACAGCAGCTCTTGTGTAGCAGCTACTCAAATCATCTTGCTTCCAAAGCAGTATAAGAAGAAAAAAAAAAAAAAGAATTAATATTAGAAAGGTGAGTTTGGGCGAAGTATGCAGTTGAAACATTTTCCCTCTGGTTTCAGAGGCTGATAATTAGCCTCTTGAGAGCAGTTATCCAGCTTCTTTTCTGCAAGAGGATGCAACCTAAAAAAGTCTGGTGCTTTGGTGCTCAATCTGTAACATACAGACTCAGGATGCTGAAGAAGAAGAAAAGAACGGGGAAATAAGTGAGGAAGCACCAGTCATAGCCAGACAGAGATGATTTACATAAAATCACCAGTGAGGCAATATAAATATAAAAAAGAAGCATTTACTAAGCAAGCTTTTGCTGCTCTGCACTATGAAGACCTCCCTCAAAATGCATCTCTGTTCCCCACTTCCCTATCATYGGAGGATTCTCCCTGGAGTCCTGCCTTAAGGAAAAGTAATCGTCCTGGGCTCATGGCACCCTAGTTAATCTCCATGACCGTGATGGAGCCCTGTGAGCCCTCAAAGTAACGGTGCTTTCAGAGGAGCAGTTTCTCAAGCCAAAATGCTGGGGGAAGACCAGGACAGCAGTTCCAGAACAGCACTTACAAAACAGCCCCCAAGCACAGGGACAGCCTGAAGCACCTCAGAGCCCACGTTCCACTCACCTGCTCTGGCGTGGGTGTGATGAGCACATTGCTGGCAGTGCCCGTCCCCATGGGCAGTGTGACAGGATGCAGGATGGACTCTATCCGCTGAGTGGAGTGGACTGCAGGTGAGGTCTGCCCAGACTGTGAGTCAGTGCTATACACAGTCTAGAGACAGAGGAGGAAACGGTAAACGTGATAGAGAAGGGGAGGCATTGGACACAATTTACAAGGCAGAGCAATTGGGGGAGCAATTGCTCCTCATCTGCTCCTCAATTGCTCCTCATCTGCTCATCTTCATCTGCTCATCCTCAGCAATTGCTCCTCATCTGCTTCCAATAGTCTTCTAGCTCTTTTGCCTTATCCTCCCGCAAACCTTCTGCCCCACACTTGCAGCCCCTTTGATCACCTTGTGAAGAGGCTGGCTTAGAGCCTCTCACTCCCCCAAAGCCCTGCAACTGCTGTCTGGAGTTGCTGGAGAGCCTCATAGCTCTATGGAGTTGAATGGCAGCAGTTCAACTCCTTTCTCATCAGAGGCACCTCCATACCCGCTGTGGTGTGTGGATGGGTGACAGCATGTCCAGGTCAGTCATGGGGAACTCCAGACCTTTCCGCCTCAGGTCTTCATAGACACTGACAACGCCTGTCAAGTCCGGGGAGCTCCGGAAGGCATCTGCCCAGGACTGTAGAGAAGGAGACAGTGAAACCCAGCACCACTTAAAGTACTCTTCTATATAAACACTTAAAAACATTTGATCTGGTGCCCAAGCCCACTTTTCTTGCCTCACCTGGATGAGAGTCAGCACCTTGTCATGCACGATAGCAGGAGGATTGTTCTTAGGCAGGATTGTTCTCACCAGGACACCTTCCACAAAGTCCTGGCTGGCCACCAGGAGATGGAAGCGATGGCCACAGTTTTTGACACATGTCTCCAGGACCTGCAAAGGCAAAGAGGCATTAGTTACAGCCTTCTCTGACTACATGGTAGTCTTACTGTCTTCAGACACCTGTGTCTTTGCAACCAAGGACTCAGCTTTGCAGCAGGATATAATGGAGTTGAGAAAGTCATCATCACTCACCGTTAAAGCCAACATAACTTCATGGAAGTTCTTATTCCCTACAATCCTCTTCTTTATCGCCCTGAAAGCATCTTTGGGCCTACAGAAGAAATCAGGTAAAGAAAGATCATCAGCAGGTCMAGACCAGCCTCTTGAGATACAAAGCAAAATGGCCACTGGCACCCAGAGCCTCATACTCAGCAGGTTACCTCCCACCATGTTTTCAGGATGGCTTGAAGCAGTGACTGTTAAAGCAGCTGCTGACAGTGGCTTTGCAAGAGAAGTGGGTCCAGTCAGTGAATGCTGTTGCCAAAATTTAATGCCTCTGCTGATGGAAGCAACTATCAAAGGTACAGGATGAGACAGAAAATAGTAACTGAAACACCAGGAGAAAAAGAACTACAGTAATACTCGTGGTGCTCAGAGGGAACCTGTTGGACAACACTTTCTGGGAAGAAAGGAGGTTAAAGAGAAGCAGGAAAGATGCACTGGAAAAGTCTTGCCCAGACAAGGTGGACAAGAAAGCAGCAGCATTGCAGGACCTGCTCAATCGTTCTCTGAGGGGAAACCACTGTGGTTCCAGCCCACTGCAATGTTGTGAATGACAGCAATGAAATGTACTCTGTCAGAGCACAGAAGGAGAAGTAGGGCTGGAGGAGCAGCAATGCTGGAGAGTAAGACATTGAAAGATTCAGGTAATGAGCGGGGTGGGAGTGCATCAACCCACGGGCGTGCATGGCTGTACAGGACAGGAGATAGCGGGGGAAAGGGAGGGCTCTCTGCCTGCCCGGAGTGCGAGGGGATGGGGCATGACTKGGGTGCAACTGTGTTAATAGACACCCTGCACTGAAACACCAAACAGCCACAGCTTGAGAACTGGGGGCAGAGATGGGTATAAATTACACCATGGGGGCCGCAGGAAGAGGGCAACGGTCAGTAAGGTGCTTGGCTTGGTGTGCACACCATGGTGAAGCTGGAGATAGACTGTCTGCTAATCCTCCTTAAGCCTCACTGCAAGGTGGGACAGCAAAAGGAGTGAAACCTATGTTTTTTTATTTCAGGTAACATGGAATAAAAGTGTAGAATTCCATTTTAGATGCTGCTCTTGACACCTTCACTGTGAGAAGGAGCAGTCCCCTGTGAATTTGCTGGCAAATCCCCAGGTCCAGAGTTAACTGCCTGACAGATTTCTGGATGTCTTCCCTTGGGGAACGGGAGGCAAAGGCTCTCCCCTTTGCTTTGCTCTTGTCTGTGCTCTTGACTGTGTATGAAAATGCTTGAGAGCAGAGCACCAGCAAAACTCGCTCAGTCACAGAACTCATTAGCAACCTGAGATTTTCTCCTCTCCTCACTCACGGACCTGGAGATTTTTACATTCCCAGAGGAGAGAAAGARAGGTCTATGGAGGAGGAATAAACTGAAGTGCAGAATTTCAAATATGCCTTTGGGAGATAGGAGGCAAACTGGCTTGAATCAAGGTTTCTCTGGGGACCCTAAAGGTCTGTTTAAATGGCTCTCCGTGCTTAACACGTTTATAGGGAAGCATCTAACAGATGCTCTGGCAGCTTTAGTGAGACTCTAGGTTTCCCAGCAGAGTCAGGTTAAGGGAGTGTGGGGTAACCTGGCTTATTACGTTCGCTCACGTGCGGTACCACTTAAGCATAGGGGTGTCACGCTACAGAGTGTGCGCTGGGACCCACTCTCGGAGGRATAGTCATGTCAGCTCCCTTACCCTTCTTCGGTCTCATTAATGATATCACAGATTTCCATGTTGAGGGCCCAGTCCTCACTCCGCAGGGCTCCATCTGTAGCTCTCTCTGCAAGACAAGAAACCAAGTCAGGAGGAGGCTAAGAGCTCTCTCACCGCTGCCTGTTCAGCTGTCATGACACTGCAGAAGCCAGCAGCTTTTTTACATTTTCCATCGCAGACATAAAAGCCACGAATCGGGCTTTTATGGGCCACGGAGGGCAGCCCRCTAGGTGTCCCTAGCATGAGGTGCGTGGCTGGCTGGGCTGGCGGCCGCCCCGCGCGCTCTGTGTTCCCGGCAAGAGGAACGCTGCCAACAGGCCCCGTGCGTTCCTGGCAGCAGGAATGCTGCCCACACCGATGTGCCACAGGCACCCACCCCGCAGGCTCCCTAGGGTCCTGCATGGAATGGGGAAGCACCTCGGCAGAGAACAGGGAACTTTGGCTCCACAATGGGAGGGAAGGCGGCTTGTTTGTCTCCCTGCAGCAGGGCCAGCATAGGAAACCACGAGTGTGCTCTGCTCTCACCGCCTTGGATCTAACGCTAATAGCATGGCTCTTGATTTGCACTGAATTAAGGAAACAAACAGATCAACTCCCTTTTTTTCTGCATTTCTCACAAAAGCGAACAAACAACCAAAGCAGTGCTTTCCTTTGTTGAACACTTACATTCCTTCCCTGAACTTCTGGCCTCTGGGGAGCAGGGCCGTAAGGGGGCTGCAGGCCCAAGTCCAAGCAGTGTCACTGCAGCCTCCACAGCCTCCCCTTTAATTAGGGATTCCTGAACTGGCGCTGAAGTTATTCATGGCAGAGATTCATGCAGCAAACAGCTATTACTGCGAGCACCCGTGTCCCCACCCTGTAATCAGCCATGCTCAGTCCCTGCTGGGTTGGCTGGTGCCCTTAGGGACAGCACAGGAAACAGAAGGATATCAGGGCAGGCAGGACCCAGGCACTCTCTAGACCACAGAGATGCGGTGAGATAAACAGATGGCAAGCAGAAGTACCCTCTTTTTCAGCTTTCCTGTCTTCTAAAATGCCCAACTTGGCTGTCATGCAGGAGAAGTAGGATCAGCCAGACCATCTCAGCACCCACACAGTGTTCTTCAGGAGGATTCAGACAAGTTAGGCACTTAAGGGCCGGCATTTCAAAACTGCTCTCCCTGTAAAATCCAGAGCTGGCCCTTGATGCTGTGGGTCCTCTAGCCCTTTGCAGGCACCCTGCTCTGCAGAGCTGCTTTTTCCTATTTTTGACTCATTCCACAGGTCTGTCTGTGGAATGAAAGGAAATGGCCATTCATGCAGTGGTATTGGGATACAGGCCATGGCATCAGAAAAATATTTTTAACTCCTGCCTGTATAAACACATCCACCGTGTTTTGGGATGTGCTGCTTTTAAGCAGCAGGCAGAGAGCTCTGCAATGCAGCCATGCTGCCTTCATCTCTTAAACGCGTCTTTCCCACAAATTACACATATCACAGTGTGAGGCTACCTATGCTAACCTTATCATAAACCAGCCAACACCTTCTCTGCTGACTACAGAATAAAATGAGTACATTGTGATTACACTGCTTACATTGTGGTGGCTACAATCAGAGGGAAGAGGGTAAGCACAGGAAGGAGGGAGGCAGAGAATTCTGGATGTTTTTTCCACGTATTTGAATGTCTGGTGACTATTTCTGCTCTGGGATAATACCCTGCAGGCCTCTTCAGGCAGGTGAAGGCTTTTTCACTTCACAGCAATTAATTTTAAATAGGAATCCCAGGCTCTGCAAATGTAGGCTTCCTCCCTGAGACATGTGAGATAGCACTGCACTGAGTGATGTGGTAAGGACAATCTAGGGCTGTGGATTATATTGGAGCATGTCTAGTGCATATACAAATGAATGGGKGAAGTTTAGGTAAAATTCCTGGGAAAAACCATTTCTGTGAGGGCTCCTTTGGGGTCAGGACTTGGTACAGGAGCAAAGCTCCAGGTTCTCTCCTGTTTTGAAAAGCCACACACCCCACCTCGCCAGGCGGGTCAGCCTGCATACTGATTCCTGCTCTGCATACACCTGAGCTTAAACCCCAGTCTAACTAGATGCTGCTTGTTAATACTGTCAATGAAAGACAAATTTGTCATAGAGGAGTTTGCCCTATTAAAGGGGAAAATCTCTCTAATCTGCATCCACTCACCTCTCTACTGAAGAAACACATTGCACATGGAAGGAAAAAAAATAAAAAAAAACCCTCCCCACAGCTTGGGAACAGATGCAAAACCTGGGAAACTCTAAACTCCAGAAGAAAACGGAAGATAAAATGAAAATTGTTTCTAATCATGAAGTCTTTGTCATTCAAGACTCTCCAAAAGCTCCTCGAGTTCATTTTCACTGTGCATAGATGTGGACCAAGTCTGCAAACAGTGAACTCTCACCTTCCGGTACTTGGTATCACTCTGCTGCTCTCCTCCTCTTCCAAGCACATGAGCCCTACCAAGGTCAAGCAGCAAGTTTGCATTTCAGAAAGGAATGTAAACTGTGCACACTCTTTCACCTGGCTAACCACTTATAGGAAAACAAGGATTCCTCACAAGTGACACATACAGCCCCAATAGTTTTACCTTACATGGAAAATAAAGATGCTGCTGCTGTCACCTCCTCTCTGATGCTCGTCAATAATAAGCTGCAAATCTGCTATAAACGCAACATTCAACAACAACCCAAAAAAAAAAAAAAAAAAAAGGGAAGGGCAGAATTAGGGCATATGGAAAAACAGGAATGTGACCTCCAAGGACAAAAGCACTTCAAACTACCCAGTACAGATTAGCCATGCAACTAATGCTTTTTTAATCCTCCTGGCTTCCAAGTACTAGGGGACTGTCCAAACGTAGTTATGTTGGAGTTTTCTCTGAAAATCCTACTTTACCCTTTAGCAAAGCCCGCGGAAGGAAAGCAAACAAAGTTTATTCATTAGTCACATGAAGGATCAAGATGGCTGGCCCTGTTTCACGAGCTGCAACCAGGACGTGAGCTGGCTGCCTCCCATGAAATCTGAGCCCACGATGGCTGGAAACAGTGACAAGGTCCTAAAAACAGCAGGCGCGGGGGGCCGAGCCCGGCTGCCTGCCCGGCGCTCTGCTTTACCTGGCAGGACTTTTCAGGGAGTTTCTGCTCGGGAGGAATCAGGAGCTTGGGAGCTAATCCCGACCTGCCCCAGAGAACTCCATGTGGCAGGGGTTATCAGTGAGCCATAAGCACCGTTTTCTTCAAAGCCTGGAACTGACTGGCTGCTGAATATCCAGAATTAAAGTGCCCTTTACGAGGCTGCTTCAAAGCCACGTAATTCTGGCAGCCAGTCCAGCTCGTCGGGTGTGACAGCCCTGGGGTTTGTCCGATTCCAGTGTGATGCCTCACAACTGCTCACATCATCCCAGGGCCTCCAAGGTCAGAGATATGGCCCAAACTTGCACCATTTAACTTCTTCCTTCCTGGCGTTTGAGCAGTCCTGCTTACTGCAATTATCAAAACTGTCTGGAGTCTTAACATTGGGAGCAATTTTCAGCATGGCACCAGTAATAAAACAGAGCCGTACATTCCTCTGTGCCAAGATCAAATTTGACTCAATGTCTTTTCTTTGTTTTTGTTTTTTTTTTCCCCCTCAGGTTTATTGTCATTTCCCTTGTGGCAGAGGAGAGTCTGTTGCTGGACTTGCAATCCACCCATTCCTGCAGGAGAAAACTGTCAATACAGGCAGTAGTGCAGAGAAACACAAGAGTTATGGGCAGAGGAGAGTAAATGGGCTCCAACACCTTTGTTTGCACCCGAGGATCTGAAGCATCCAGAACCACTTGGGCCGCTTTCAGGGGCTCTCACAGTTGAAATGCTCTCCTGTAGCTCACCAGAACCCCCCGAGCAAGGTCCACGGCCAGCATACCCCGCAGTACTCGATCTCACTGGTTGCAAGTTCCTCGCCAGAACATCAAACACTTTCCCATCTATTTGAACAGCAGTTTGAAAGGATCAGCATTTCCTTGAGCATGACAGTGTAAGTCCAGCAGAAAGCAACACCAGAATCCCTTTCCCTAACCTGCCTACAACTCACAGTATCCCTGACCCAAGTCATCTTCCTTTACAAAGTTTCCTTGCTAAGAGTCAGGTTTTCTCTTCCCACAGGGAAATTTTAGCACAAACTCAGAAAGAACTCCAACCATTTATTCCTGCTGTATTCCTTCTTCAAAGACAGAGCGTGACAACTCACTTTGTTAAGATAAACTTCCAAACCTCATTCAAGGACAATGATTAACACAGACTTGAACTGATGCACGAATGTGGCTATTTGAGTCTCCGTGTTTCTCCTCCTTCTTCCTTCCTTGTCAATCAGCTCAGACTCTCAGGGATCAAAATTCTTCACAGAGCTTCCTTTGCTCCCCCCCCCCCTCCTTTTTTTCCTCTCTACTTTATCTTTAGTTTTCTCCCCTACCTGTCCTCACTCAATGGAATAACCAATCTCTGTCCCTTAAGTATTGCTATAAGTACTAGCTATTCCAAACTCCAAGCCTGAGAAAAGAGGTGTCTTCCTCATTTTCATACTCTACAGTTACCTTGTTACTCCTAGAGAGCCTCCTTGGAGCACAGTTTTCCACTTTAAGGTTTCTCAGAGCTCCTTGGTGGAAGCCCTTGGTGGGATTACCATTTTGTGTGGGGGGCCCGCACAATGATGCCTCAGCAATCTTTGGAAAGCCCTCTACAAGTCAAGTAGTACATTAAAAAATAATAAAACTCTGTGTTTCTCTTATTTAGGAAGAAATATCATGAGCTAAAAGCAGAACCGAAGAAACTTCTGTGAACAAATTCCAGGATGGGGAATAAGAAGCTGGAAAACCTACTCCTCTGCAATTTGCAACCAATTCATTCTGAGACAAATCAGAGAGTTTATCTGAGCACCAGTTTCCATGTCAGCAAAATAAAGGGAACTTACTAGATTAACATTAATGAAGCCATCTGAGAACACCACTGGAGTGTGGCACAAAAGATTTTTTCATTCCACAGCCCTCACCTAAAGCTGCTTGAGACTTCATAAGCTGCGCAGCTTTGCTGAAGGAGTTCACAACGGGGCAGTATGAGCCTTCTGTGGCCAGCCCAAAGCAGCAGTGTTATGCAGGTCTGGTGACCGGGCTGCTAAAAGCAGCTGACACTGACCTCCCACACAGCTCAGGGTAAGTCGTGTTTGCTTCTCACATGAAGTAATGAAGACAGCATTGATCCATGTCCCCAGGATGTTGTCAGGCAATGATCAAAAGGAGAAAAATGTTCATATTTATAGTCCCCAGCCCTTTCAAGTCCTCCACACTTCATTTCCTTTCTCAGGCATTGCATGTCCTCCACCACCTTGGACTCCCATAACCTCAACCATTAAGATCTCTCTACTGTCGCACTTCTGGTACTACAGACTCTAAATTCCTGTCTGACAACACTTTTGAAACAACAACACTTTTGATTTCTTCTTCTTCTTCACTGTTGGTTTGTTACTTGGAAGGCCCTTCTTCAAGAGAAGAAAAAGCCCAGAGGGGAACTGCAATCCAGATACTCAACTGATCAAAAGATCTGGAGGGCAAGAAGTAATCTGTAACATCTGAAGATTGTTTCATTTTGCCTCAACCCAAATGCAAAAATAATATCCAATACATTCACTTTGCAAATCAAAGAACATTCATTCTGCAAAGGACAGAACGTTCTTCCTGAAAAGCGTGATGCAACATCTGACAGCTGCCTGGGGGACATCAAAGATTACCTGGAACATCTCATTACTTAGAAACCTCCCTGGTATCTTTGACTGAAGTGATCCTCCCAGGTCTTGCTGTAGTGCATCTCACCTTTGTTCTTCAACACTCTGAAGTATTTCACATCACAATGCCCTATATATATTTTTGGAGAACTGAGTTGGGCAGCAAGGGCTTCCAAAATAGGATTTTAAAAATTATTTATAAAACATTACCCACAGCAGCTGCTTGCTGCCTTCCATGTCATCCATGACGCAATGAGTACAGTACACGAGTAGTCTCCACGGACAAGCACTGTGACAACTACTCAACTGGAAACCAGTTTCAGAGTGAAGAACACACGTACTAGTGGCACTAGTGAGAAAATTCAAGAGTGAAGAAACGTGTAAAACTGCAAATGGTCGTTCTCTATCACAAGTGCTGGAGAGATTAAGCACATGGCATCAACTGCATTACTTGAAGCACAACCAGAAGGCATTTGACAATATAACAGGGGAAGAAAAGAATCATTCTCTCTCCTTTGCAGTTTAGAATTGTTGCTGCTCTAACTGCAGCATCTTTTTGCATTATCTTTTTGTAGTTTTTTTACTTTTCTTCTCTGTGTTCACTTAGTTCTCCTGCGCACAGAGACTTAAAAAAAAAAAAAAATAAAGACTTGCTGTCTTCCTGTCCATTAGCCTGAAAGGCTGCTGAGCAGATGCCATGCATAGCTATCCCTGCTGTTGATTTCCTTTCCCGTGCTGATGTTCAGCTCAGCCCTGTGGGACAGGGAAGGTGCTTCCCTCTTTCTGTAACTGGGACGCGGGCCCCTGCGCACTGCAGAGGTCAAGGCTGCGAGGCCCAGCAGTGGGCAGCACCCTTGCAGCACGGGGCATCCTCCCCCTTCACGGCAGAGGGCACACGGAGCCCCAGGGAGCAGCCCCAGGGAGCAGCCCCAGGGAGCAGCCCCAGGGAGCAGCCCCAGGGAGCAGCCCCAGGGAGCAGCCCCAGGGAGCAGCCCCAGGGAGCAGGGAGGACCCTCTCCCAGCAGGGCCCTCCAGGCTCCATCATGGCCCCTGGAGGATTCTCCTCAGCGGCCCCCAGCCCTTCCCGCCCAGGAAGCTGATAGGCCCTCGAGGCCCAGCCAATCAGCGCCCCGGACGTGCCTCCCCTGGAGGTGCCGGCTCCCACCACGACGTCCTCAGCAGGTGCCGGCGGGAAAGGTCCCGAGCCAATCACAGGCCTCGGCTCCGCGAGGGGGGCGTGGCTCGGACCACCGCTGCTTCGGGCCCTTTAAATAAGAAAACTTCCCCTCGCCTTCTCGAGACCCCCTCGCGCGCCGATTGGCTGGCCGGCCGAGCCGTCCAGGCCTGGACGCTCGCCATTGGTAGGGCGCGCCTGCCCGTCAAAGAGGAGCGCGCCCCTCATAGGCTGGAACGCTCTGGAGGCCGCCGCGGAGGCGGGGACAGAGCCGCGCCCCCTCGGGGCTCCCGCCGCGGCTTCCCGGAGGAAGGGGCTGCCGGCGGCGCGCGAGGCCGCCGAGCAGCGCGGGGGGCGGCGCGGGCGCGGCGGGGGAGGGGGCGCGGCCGCGGGGCTCTCACCGATGCGCTGCCCAACCGGGGAGCTGAAGGGGTTCCCCAGCAGAAAGTCCATCGCCGCCGCCGCGATCAGCTGACTGCGCCCGCGCCGCTCACGTGACGGCCGCGCGCCACGCCGGGCCGTGACGACAGCGCCCGCCCGTCGCCAACGGCCGCTGCCAACGGCCGCCGCCCCGCCCGCGGGGGGAGGGGCGCTCCGAGGAGGGGCGGCATCGGCCGCCGCATCCTTCAGAGCCTGGAAAGCGGCGCCGCTCCTGTCCCAACGTCCCGGCTTCCTCTTCCTGCCTTGACCTCGCCGCTCCTGCGGTGTCTTCAGCGCCACTAACGGGACCCGACAGGAGAGCGGGGGAGAAAAACGCCCCCGTCCTCAAGTAGTTGCAATGCTTGATACCTCCCCCTTCTCCACACCGTCGGTGTTGTTTGAGTGAGATTTCAGGTGAAGTGTGCTATTAGAAATAGAATAGCTTGCTCTTAAACAAGTGAGAATAACGAATTTAAAATTAAAGGTGTATTTTTTTTCCTGAGAAAAACTAAATACCAGTAGAAACAACTGTTGCAAGAAAACACAGTAAACACTAGAAAAGAATGACAACACTGTAAATGTTAAAAAAATTATATTGTAAGTACAGTACAAAAAGGTTTCTTTATATAATTGTAATGTAATCTGGATCAAACGGCAAGGAAATAACAAAAATATAAAAACTGCTAAGTCTTGCCAAAGTTTTCCCTCTAGTACCAAATACCACAAGATACAGATTATACAAAGTGTACAAATTTTAAATAAAAATACAATACACCAGGGTTGTGTGTGTGTGTGTGTGTGTGTGTGTGTGTGTGTTTTCAAACTCTTCAAGAGTTTTCCGTTGTCGGGATGACAAAGTTAGAGCTGATGCCCTTCTGTTCCTTACACAGCTATCCCTTTGCCGCAGTGCTTGGTTGCAAAGGGCTGGGAAGAGCCGGTTACTTTGTGCCACTCCTAGCAGCAGATGCTGCAGTAGGGTCCATAGTTAACAAACTGAATTAGAGTGCCTCTCTCCCAAGCCTCTTCCCAATTCCAAAATCTCCAGGATTAGTCAAGTATTGTCAAAACATGTCTTCCCTGCTCCAAGGCTTCAGATAAGAACGCACATGACTGTCTTGAGAATCTTCTGCTTCAGCCACTAAGGCAGTGAAAAAAACGTAACACTGAACTGAGAAAAGCTCCGTGACAAAGACTGCCTGGCACTGGCACAGCTGGGGAATTCATGGTAAAGACAGAGAGGAAAAACTCTCCTGTGCACCTGAGGATTTAATTTAAATATAATTTGGGACTAAGTCATAATGAGGAATGGCTCTCTTGCAACTGCCCTGAAAAAAGAGAAACTACACTTCAAACTGGAAGTAGCCCCAAAGTACTCTTCTATCATTTTAAAACTTTTATGGTGTAAGGACTGGAGATGCTGGGGTTAAATTAAAAAGCCTTGTACTTCAACTTCTATCCAGCTTCACAAGATAGTCCATTTCTTAGAAACATTTAAAATATTGCTGTTGTTTTCCCATCCAGAGCTGATAGCTGCTGCTGCATGTTTAGCTGATGTCTGCAGGAAGTGGCTGTGGCACAGCCAATTCATATAGTCCATACACTGTTGGTGGAGGGAGGGATTTTTCTTTTAAATTATACATATATACACACACACACACACACACACACACAGACACACACACACACACACAGAGAAATATACAGGATAAATTAAATCTGTTACAGATATTGATAAAAAATACACGATATGAACACCACATACACATACATACAGACACACAGAGGCCTATATGAGAATCCAGTACTTTCCTGCATCTCCTTTCCTAGAGCAGCAGAAAACCAAAATACCATGTATGTGGCTGGAAGGAAGGGGAATCGATCACTCATTGCTGCTTCAAACTGGTCATTAGTACTGCCTCACAGTGGCACCGTGGCTCTTTCAATACTGCTGGTGAAAGAGGTGGGATCAGCGATCTCAGAAACTCAAGTCCTCTGTTCACAAAACATGTGCAAGATGAGCAGAGGCAATTCAGGTTTCTCCCATCTGCTGCCATGCTCTCCTCTGCATTAAAGTGGGCTGCCCATGCCCTGGAAAAATCAGCAGGATGTTCATCCTCACAAGTCAGTGCAAGCTGTTGATATCTCACACTAATGGCAATTTGATGCAAGTCCACATGAAAAGCACAAATTTGTTGCCATTTTCAACTTTAAACCCATTGCAAACTACCAGACCAACCAGCTGATGCCAACAACTTTCGATCATCAGTCACTGAAGAGGGAAGCTTGGAAGTTGTGATTGAGAGGTAAAGACATCTATTTCTTATCATAAAGATGTCTGTATCTCTTTTCAGCTATCTAGCCTTTCCCTCAAGGGGAAAAGCCTACCCTAAAGTGGTAGACTTTAAACTGAAAACAGAAACAGGGCTTATGAGGACAGTTCATTTTTACTCCTTGGTCCAAAATAAACTGGCATCTCTAACTGTCCACAGAATAATTAACCTTCCAATTCAAGATGTATCAGGAGGTCACCTTGTCCACCTCTGCTTAAAGAAAGTCGAACTAGAGCAGGCTACTCAGACAATTTCAGAATATCATCAAGGATGGAGATTCCACATCCTTCTGGTTCCACTAACCACTTTTACAGTAACCATTTTTTTTTTTAGCATATCGAGAAGTCAATCCTCTGGCTGCTTCCCCCATCAACATATGAATTTAAGACTAGTTTCTCAAAAACTTTCTCATTTCTTCATTAAATACTTTCAGATTGGTGTACATTTCATCCACCAATAGAAAGGGGCACTCTCAGCTTAACTTCACAACTTTTCATAAAATTAATAGAAGTCAATCCTATGTATATACTATACAGATATAAAATGTTAAAACCCTACACAGAGAGAGTGCCGGTGTGGTGCATATGCACACGAGTCCCTTATGCAGAGGCTGAGCACATCCCAGGATCTCTTCCTGTCAAAGTCCAGGCATGATGTAGGCGATGTTGTCTAGTGTGTTTGACTGGGAAAAGAAATTCAATGTTGTTTTAGCATCAGATAATGACTTAAAATCCTTGAGAAATGATACAGATGAGGAAGCTACTACTAACACCTTCACTGTCTTAAAAGTTATCATAGGAGGAGGCTAAGCAAAGCTCATTATCACCACTGCTAGGTTAATTTGCACAGTCTTGGAAATATGAGTAGATTGAACACAAAGGTAGCCTCAGTATTTGGATGCATCTACGAATCAGAAATTGCTTACAACTTCCCTCAAGGGACCTCCTCCTTATGAACTTCATTATCTTTGGTTTTTGAGCAAGTCACATTAGCCTAATCACAGTAACCACTGGAAAGACTTATAATGAACAACTTGAGCTAAATGAACAGAGTAGTAGCATATAAACTGAARAAAAGATTCTACATATACAATCATTTAGGAAATTCTGCAGTGTAAAAGTTCAGGGAGAAAGCCTCAAACAAATCTCCTAATGGGGTGTCAGATGTCTGAGTATCAGTGCTCTCCAGTTTTCTCTGCAAATGTTAAAATTCTGAAGAGCTCTCCCCATGCATACCAGAAAACAAGACTCAGTAGTATTATTTTCATGTTCTTCAAATGCAGTATATCAGCAACCTCAAAACTGTGACTAGACAGCTGAAAGAAGCCYCAATATCTGCCTTTATCCAGAGAAGTTGGATCTGCACCAAACATGATCCCAAAATTAAGCAATGCCACCTACTGACTGGAAAGATGAATTGCATACAGCACTAGCACTGAAAACTTTATCCATGTTTTAAACCCTGCTATCTTTACATTTCTGATGGCAGAAATATATATTTTTTCAATCCAGTATTAGTTCTCAGAAGTTCACCAAAAGTTCTAGTGCTCCTTATAATAAGGCAGTGGTCATGTTTTCAAGATATGCACCATTAGTCATGTGGAAAAGGGGTATCATTGCTTTGAATACCTTTGGCAAGCAAGAAGGAAAAAAAATGACGGGATGTTTTCCATGGCTTAGGATGGAAACGCCCTGCTGACTCAGCTTTTGTATAGATAGTCACTTTGAGGGAGCACACGGTTTAAGCTGTCAACGTTTCTGCTGTTAGTAATCCCTTTTCAGCATGAATCAATGTTTGGGCTGTCCCATAAAACATGACAATTCATGTCCTATTTTATTATTCTCTCTGTCCATTCTTTTTTTGTAATCTCTAACTTATACAGTCTGCAAAAAATAAACTGAATATTTTTTTCTTCTTGCTTTGCCTCTTCTCTGCCCCCGTTCTCTGCTTTACTTAACATGGCTCCTGTTAGTGGTATTGACTCCTGCTCCTTTTTGTGCTGTTGCCATGTTACTCTGTGTCCACATCATGCAGCGCTGATGCCACAAGCCATTGCTAAATCAGGTCTTAATAGAAAAAGGGAGGAAGAACTTGTAGGTGTTATCTAGTTCCTTAAAAGGGAGATTATTTTCCTTTCCTTAGAGATGGTTAGAGCCATATTAAAACTCAATTGCATTAAGAATCTTAATTAAGATAGCAAGTTAGTTTTTGTGATGCTTAAAAAACACAACAAATGTTACATCAGTTTCCCTRTAAGCTTTAAATTTTGTGTCTTTACTGGATAAAAATGTTGTACAATACAGTACAGCGGTAGCATCTTAAAAATTTTTATGAAATATCCCTCTAAAAGCTGAATTAGCATGAACATTTTCTTATCTTTCTAGCACTGAAATTATAAGCACATAATAAGAAGTGATTTACCAGAAAATTCCAGGTGATCTCCACTAAAATTAACAGGTCTTAAACAGAAATAACCACAAGGAACTCACCAAAACTTGCCTAGGGCAGGCATTCAACTCAGGCAGCTGTGTTGTCAGACAGGCTAAAGGGCCCAAAGCACAGATGATTGAATCTAGAAGTACTGATAAACTTCCTGAAACAGCCACCATTCCCTGGAAGTAAACAAAAAACTAGATAGGGACAAACACTGGAAATCATAATCCTTTTACAACTGTGTTCTTGTGGAATTAATACAGGTTCATGCCTGTGGTCACATTGTTTATTATTTACACAGTAACAAAACTTCACTAAGCATTTCACATACAGAGATTGCTCTTTCAAAAAAAAAAAAAAAAAAAAAAAAAAAAAAAAAAAGAGTTCAATAGGCAAGAAGCATAAATGAAAGAAGTGAATATCAGCAGACAAAGTCAGAGCTAAATATTTGTTGTCCTTATAGGCCGGGCCAATTTTTGAAAGTGGGTATGTTTCTGTGTGTGTGTGCACGTGCACATCTCTAAGCATGTAACCACTATCATTTAACTGTAGCTTCTATGTTACCAGGTAAGGTGAAACATTAGTAGCTCCTGCCCAAAGCATTGGCAACAGGATACTGCTAGAAAGCAGCAGCACATGTGAAAAATACATCTTGATAATGGCTTTCTCTGGTAATTTTCTCAGAAGACTTGAGAAGATAACAGAAAGGGTATCAGACTGGCAAAGGCAGAAAAGGGATACTACATTCAGGTAAATATACAGTAAGAAAAGGCTGAAGAGTTTGTTCACTAAGAATTGCCTTTAAGGGCCCACAGCTGCTAGCCAGGGACCCATCTTTGTTATCTACTGCATACGGACAAACAGGGCTTTCTATTTCACTGGAAATAAACAGAAATACATCAAAGAAACTGGACATTCCATCTTTCTCTTCCAAATACAAAAATATCATCTAAACTTCTACATTATGGGTTCCAAGCTCACCTCTGTTTCCTGCAGCCTGTGACCAATGAGGCTCAGAGATTCACCCAGCAACTGCAAGTGCGCAGCGACATCGATTGGATCCGTCTCAGGCACTTTGGCTGGCGAAGCAGGCACCACCACGGTGCTAGTGGGGGATTTCTTATGAGGAGAAAGCGCACCTGTTGGAGAAGCTGCAAACACACCAATTAAAATTCCGCATCGCTTTCTCATTCTTTTACTTAAAAATCAATTTACTTGGTAAAGGTCAAATCTCAAAAGCACCAGATGCTTAAATCGTTCTGTGGGCCTGGTCCTGGGGCCTTTGGAGTCAAAACTTCCCTTCTACACATGCAAAGCATCTACCCTAGCTGAATGCAGTTTCATAGGTTGGAGAGATTTGGTAAACAGGAATGTCAAAATAAGCACTACCATTTTTTTTCTCTTGCATCATGTTAGTCCCACTCCACTCCTGCCTCTTCTTATTTTATGTTTCAGCTCCTGAAGTGCTAAAACTCCCTGTTCTTCTAATTAGAAATAGACATGAAGTCTGTGGGGTTTTCTTGCTTGTTTGTGTGTTTGGTTTTGAAACTGGCTGAAATCATTCTTTTTTTTTGAATAAAGCGTTAAGTTAAAAAAATGCTAAGACTTGTACGAAAGCAGGTAGTACTGGGAACTTGGAAGCAAAAGCAAGAAAGGCCCTCTGTTCTTTATTTCACAGGCAACAATATCTCCCTTAGCAAAAACAAAAACAAACAAACAAAAAAAACCAAACAAACAAACAAAAAAAAGGACTTGAACAAACCAGGCACAGCAATTACCTTTTACTTTTGGTGCACCGTCTGAAGATGATAACTTCCTCTTCACRGTGGTGGCCTCTGCTTTATTCTGTTTGTGCTGTAGGTACTGAGCTTTCTGTTTCCAGATCTGCGGTTATTACAGTATGAAAAGAGAGATTCATAACATCAAATAGTTATCTGATGCCAGAACCTGGAGGTAGAATGATTTTATGTAGCTGACTGCTTGAGCAATGCCATTAGGGTAAAAGATATTTTTACAACCACATAGGCAAGGTTATCCATTTTTCAGTACTGTAGGGAGAAAGGAAGTATTTTGCAAGGTGTGGTGGCAATGCTGCCAGCATGCTCTCACCTAAGTATCTAGTTAAGATAAATCATTTTACAAGAATATCTTTCACACACTTACCAGTTTATCCTTATCAGGTAGCTGCTTCCATACTTCCGCCAGTTTTTTGCTCAGCTCTCCAAAATCTGGCAGAAAAAAAAATGCATAAAAAAATAAAATCAAGGAGAGAACTTATGAAAATTAGATGAATGTTGACAGTGGAATAACTGGCCCATGGATACACATTTATGAAGCAACCTGTTCTACATAAGAACTCTTTGTGTGCCCAGGAAGTTATTTCCAGTGTGACTCTCATTGCTGACTTAAATGAGAAAAGCTGATACAGGGGATATAAGGTATACATATATATGGAAAAGTGACACAATGAACCTGCAGAGACAGGTCTGCAAGTAAATGAAAGGCAAACTTGGAATTTTTTTTTTTATCCAAGTTCACAGTTTGCTTGAAACACAATGAAATCAAATTATGAAATCAATCCTCTTTGCTGTCTTTAGTTCAAAGAATATTGGCATTCTTCACATGCAAAACTAGGACTTTGGTATGACACAGCTAAGGTATGTCCTGATAAATAATCAGACAGATGTATAATCAACAGAAGACAAGGACAGATTATTCTCTCACCTATTCCAGGGTGATCAGACAGAATATTTGTACGATATTCCTTACAGAATACTTGATATGCAGACATATTCTTCTTCTTTGGCTAAGGAAGGAAACAAATATTTTTAATTACAATGAAATCTACTTGATTTAATAATAAACTGGCATTTATTGAAGGCTTACCAAAAGATACTGTGCCTMGATCAGGAATCTACAGAAGCAGTGTTTTAGATGGTCTGGCTGAATTTAGCAGCTATGAAAGCACAGGAACCGGTCAGAACTAGTCTTAATATAGGGCTTATTGCATGCCCACAAAACATTTCAGTGTCAAGAAAGTAGCTAGCAGAAGTATAGCAATAGCAGAGGCATAAGCAGTTGTCAAGCTGATTTTGTAAGGACAAAATTGGAGATGTGGCAGGCTGGATAACAAATGGGAAAGTATCTTCATACATCAGGGCAGAGTCTTATTCCTTTTTACAGAAATTATCATGATGGACTAGATCACTGCTAGCCTTGTCCAAACTCCTGTCTGGCAATAGCTACAGTGAGTTATCTTAGAAAATGATATAGCTGGTATAAAATTTATACCAACCACATTAAGTATAATCTTCTCAAAGGACCTCAGTCAGCTAAAGACTGTCCTATAGCACAAAGAATATGTAGATATATGACCACAAAGATCATATATGTATAAAAGTATATATATATGACTTTAAAAAAGCAGCTGAAACATTTTTGCCAAACACGCTGCAGCAAAGTCATTATTGCTGATATTAGTTATCCTTCTGTTTTAATATAACATGACTCAGTTACACCTGACACAACAGAATTATTTTCACAACAGTGAAAGTTAGAAATATTTTTAAATAGAAGACAAAAACAAGGTAGCTTTGTCTCAAGTGGGCCTTAGTAGGCCAACTGTTATTGCTGAAAGAAATTAAACAAATTCTACGCACATATGCACTAATAAGATTTTCAGATCCAGCGGTTAAATTATATAATTTCTACCATCAGGCTGTCATAACCCTCTAAACATTGTCTCTGCAATCTACTTTGAAAAAATAGGTTCTAAAATAATGGTTATTAACTCCTTGATGAGTTCTGCACCATTGAGCACCTAACTTATTACTACCCAATTTCATATTCAGTCCTGTTTTTCCTTACTTTGTCTTTGTCTTTTTCTCTTTCTCTTTCCTTCTCCTTTTCTTTCTCCTTTTCTTTTTCCTTCTCCTTTTCCTTTTCTTTCTCCTTCTCCCTCTCCTTTTCTTTCTCTTTCTCCTTCTCCTTCTCCCTCTCCTTTTCTTTTTCCTTCTCCTTCTCCTTTTCTTTCTCTTTTTCCTTCTCCTTCTCCTTTTCTTTCTCCTTCTCCTTCTCCTTTTCTTTCTCTTTTTCCTTCTCCTTCTCCTTTTCTTTCTCCTTCTCCTTTTCTTTCTCTTTTTCCTTCTCCTTTTCCTTTTCTTTCTCCTTCTCTCTCTCCCATTTCTCTGCTTTTTCTTTTTCCTTGTCTTCCTTTCTCCTCTTCTTCTCACTCTGTCCATCTGAATGAAAAACAGGAGGAGGTGGAGGAAGAACATAGGGAGCACTTGTAGGAGGTGGTGGTGATGCTGTTGCTTCTGCCACAGGGTGTCCAGAACTCCTTCTAGATTTAGAGTGCTTCCTCTCTCTGTGTTTCTCCTTATCTTTTTTCTTCTTACTTTTTTTTGACTTCTTCTTCTTCTTGATTTCCCGGTAGGAGTCATCTATCACTAGCTCTCCAGCCTCTAACTCACCACCAGAAGATGAACCAGATTCTGGTGGTGCTTCCAGTCCTGAAGCATCATATTCACTCCCATGGCCCTCTGAAAAAAGGGAGGTGTCAGCACTACTCCCCTCAGAAGGTGGATGAGGATCTGGAAGTGGCTTATGCTTCTTCCTGGCTGACTTCAGGAAGCTCTGTAGCTCATTACCCAGGACCAATGAGCCTTGCTCATCTCGAGCTGATTTCTTCGAAGATTTCTTTACAGTTGCTGGTGATGAAGAGTAGGAGAAAGACTCCTTGTCTGCTGCACTGCTTCCTTTCTCCTTCGGTGAAAGGATGAGCTTCATCTTCAAGCCATCAGGTTCCCGGAGAGTAAGTGTCTCTGTGTTCACATAGAGAGGTTTCATTTTTTTAGATTTGTGGTAGCTGCCATCGTCCACTGAGTGCTCCCCACTGCTTCCACTCAACTTCTTCTTGTGGTGCTCCTTTCTGCCTTCGGAATGGCCAGAGGAAGAATGAGACGATGATTTTTCAGAAGATTTCTTTGAAGACTTCGAGCTGGTGGCCATTGGTGAGGTGATAGCTTTGAGTAGATCCATGTTTTTATCAGCAGAGGGTGGGCTGGAAACTGCCTTTTTCTTCTTCTTTGATGGTAGATCCAAGGGCGAAAGATCTGCAACAGATGAACAGAAATGTGTGTTAAGATAATTCCCTTAAAGAAAGCATTATACTAGCTTAGGAAGGGAAGGGAGCATCCTGCAGTAGTTATGATAACAGCTAACTGATCTGTATCTTTGTTTGAGGACAAAACTTATGAAACTTATTACCACCTCAGAGCATTCTTGAGGATACAATTCAAAAAATATAAGGAAGAAAGACAGACTAAGCAAGTTCCTGGACTTTTGTCTGACTCATTTTTCTATCATGAAATAGCGTATTTTGATGACAATAAACCCTCTGAGTATGAAATATTATATCTCAAGTGAAAAGTTTTCTTGTTACTTTCAGTCAAGGAAAGACCAATGAACTGCAAACACGGGCTTTTTCATTCTGAAAAAAAATATTTGATAGAAATTCAACAGGTAATATCATTCTAAAGATGTGGCTTTGTTTTTGTTTTAGGCAAATAAACCTTTTAAGTCACTATGAACCGACTGGTCATTTTCTGGTTTAGTTATTAACTACAAGAATAATCATTGAATTTAAACTGARTCACATGTGTGCCTCTTGTGCTTTGACACATTATATTTCTACAAATTCAGAGAAACAAAATATCATCTGCAAGTGAAATCAGAGCTTGTAATACAACAGGGAAAAAAAAAAAAGAAATACAAAAAGCCACAAAGACTACAATTTGATAATGAGGGACGTGGAGCTTCTAGAGAGGGTCCAGAGAAGAGCAACTAAGATGATTAAGGGAATGGAACATCTCCCGTACTAGGAGAGGCTGAGTGAGCTGGGCCCATTTTCTCTGGAGACGAGAAGGCTGAGAGGGGATATGATTAACATGTATAAGTTCAGGAAGGGAGAATGCAGGGAAGAAGGGGTCAAGCTATTTTCATTGGTGACCAGCGGCAGGACAAGGGGTAATGGCCATAAGCTGAAATACAGAAGTTCAATCTGCAGGTGAGGAGGAACTTCTTTACTGTGAGGGTGACAGAGTGGTGGAACAGGCTGCCCAGGGAGGTTGTGGAGTCTCCTCCTCTGGAGGTCTTCAAAACCCGCCTGGATGCCATTCTGTGCCCCGTGCTCTAGGTGTGCCTGCTTGAGTGGGAAGGTTGGATTAGATGATCTGTAGAGGTCCCTTCCAACCTTGAATATTCTGTGATTCTATGAAACGAGGGATGGAAGCTGCATATTGCCAACAAAGCACTTCCTAAGCTAAAAGCTGAAACATCAATCCTTATTTCTTTCTGTCTGGTGCAGTATCCTGATGAGGCTTCTGGTAAGTTGTCCTAAGAGAGGTTGGTGTATTCTCCTCCTTGGAAGGCCACAAAACTCGATGACATTGGTTGATGAGCTCCCTTCCTCCAGTGTCATGATGAGAGTCACAACCAGTTAGCTCCTTCCCCTGTCCCATCACCATCTTACCTCTGTGGGTGAACTCATCGGAGGAGTGCTTTCGCTTCTTCTTGTGAGGTTCTGTCCTCAGAAAGACAAGCTTGCTGTCCTACAAAAAGAGCAGAGAAGTTGCTGAACAAACGAGAGAGAAAATTTAAGAGATTCTTACGGACTACTGACATAGAAAATAATTCATAAGAGTTATTGGTTCTACTGCAGTGACGAGGAATCCTAGTTATGGACCAGGATCCTCATTCTAGGTGCTATGCAAACAGAGGAAACATTCTTTGTCCCCAAAGAGCCCGAAGTGTAGATATAAGGGAAGAGACAACAAGCAGCGTATGGATAGCCAGAGAGTACAAGAACAGTATTAGTCAGCACTGGTTTCAGCACATTAGCCACCTCACTGGCATCAAGCTTTCTGTAGACATTGTAGCAAAACAGGAGTATAAAAAGGATACTGAAAGAAGAGAGATCTCTACAGGGAGCTCTTCCAAAATGAAAGGAGAAATACAGGAAAAAAAAACGTGGAAGAGCACATTCAAAAGTGTTAAGAAATGGGCAATGGAGGCCAGCATTTGGAGATCAGCTGATGAGTTGATCAAAGACAAAAGTCTACATATTACTATGGCTAAGAGTTATCTAAGCATGCATAGGCTGTCAAGCCTTGAAAATGAAGGTGGGTTGTTTATATTCTATATGCTGGAGAAAATAAGTGAAAGGAGGCACAGGGAGGTGACAAGGAAAATGATGGACTGGAAAATCAACCTCCATATCTCATGTCACCCAATTATAAGTTGTTGCTTGACCAATTTAAAGTCTGAAAATGAAGCTCCTCTGCAGAATTTCATCTGCATGGTAGAAGATTTTCATTTAAACTAGAACTTTTTTTTTTCTCACATTTAAAAATATATATATAAAAAAAACAATCACAAGATAGTCACCTTTGAGCTGACAGCAGAAATTTTAGCTCAAAGAGGAAAGTTTTGAAGAAACTTAAGTGGTCGCTACATGATTTCAGTGTTAAGGCCCCAAGGAGATGAATAGGGCAAGTTCATACCTCTCAAGAGCTATCGTTTCAGGCTGTCTGCAGAATCAGGAAGACAACAGTGCATCAGTTAATATTTCATTCATCCTTCGCAGGCTATTTATACTACTGTAAATTCTAAAAATCTTATTTTTGTGTGTAAACTCATTCATGCTATCTCATGATTTGCAAGGTTCTGCAGCAAGGCAAGGATATGATCCCATAACCTTATTTCCTGAGGCCAGAAAAAGTAAACCCAGTTGTACCTGGGATTGGCCCATTCCTTTCCCCCCCAAAAAGATGCTACTGAATAATACAGGACACCGCTCAATTAGCTGCTCTTGCTAACTTCTAAAGGAACTTCTGCACAGACAAAGCCAACAAACCTTCCCCTCCCATCCCATCCAGTCCCATCAGTAACTTTATACACATCCTTATACTTTTAACCTCTCCTTTGAGAGCTTCCTGACCTGAGCTGCTATCTCCTTCTCCTCTTGCAGTGGATCCTCATAAGAGTGTTTCCTCTCTCGCTGTGTCCTGCCAGCTGCCAACCTCACGCCATCAACACTTCGGCCACTCCCTAGGAACTCTAAGGTTTATATGAGATGGTGAAAACAGAAGAAATGAAATATCCCATTAAGGAACAATAGAAACAATGTCTACGCACAAAATATGACAGCAGCAAAAGTTGGTGCAGTGATGCATAAAACCCAACAAGTCCTTGAGCCTAAAAAAAATAATGTGCTACACTCCCTAACCACAGGAACAGGGCTCAGTGCTCTAATGCTACAAGAGAAGCATCCAACATTTCATTTATAATACTTGCATATTTCTTCCTACACAACTGCTCTAGAAATGTTGCTATGACTATATTTCTAGCCCTGGTCTCCTGTTCCATTGAGCTGACAGAAAGAAACAGGCTGCAGTGGCAGGGTACCAAGTCAAGGTCTTCACATTAAGAAATATCACCTGTTTCTCTCAAGTTGCGATCCCAGTACTTTGCTTCTGGAAATCAAGGGCTTGGGATCCTACTGAAACTTGACCAGATTAAATTTAAGGTAATAACCTTCAACGCTCACAAGAAACTAGCTTTTTCTCCCACTCCTTTGACTCTGAGGCCTAGAAAGGACTGCAGAGGGTACCATTTTTAGGCAACTCTCTCTGAAATTACGAAGCAGTCATACCTTCTTTCTTCCTGGAGTCATCATAAGCCATGGTGGTCCTGCAGGAGCCTGAGAATGTGTTGCCACGTCTGGGCTCCTTCCCCTGTTCCCGTCTACGGCAAAAAGTCTGAGAAACAGAGAATGAAAATAACCCTCCCAGAAAAAAAGATCATAATGGAATATGGGAAGCTTCCTATGAAACGAAATGAAGATTCTCTGGAAGACAGTGGGAAAGGAAAGGAATCTACCTTCTGGTCTGTTCACAATCATATTTCAGGTTTGACCCCCCAAAAAAAAAAAAAAAAAAAGTTTAACTAAACACTACAGGAAGCTTATTTTTAAAAAGATGCAACAGCACAACCTCTTCTTTGTAAAATCTCCACATCACTGAATGAATTTACTTTAGAAAGCATAAAGAATGTAAGAAAATAGCTAAGTTTGAGTTTTAAATGAAACTAAAAATTGAAAGGGTACTTATGTCAAGATCCTTTTTGTTAGGAAGCACTATGGCAAACAGTGGCAACTTTAAAGAGAAATTCCAAACCCTTGAATCTCAGATGAAGTGGTAGAAAGGATGAACCCAGGCAGGAATCATCAGAATCAAYGAATTACTTCAGATGTTTTTAACTAAATAATTGAACATTTTGGAGTGAAGATGTTCACCTTTCTGGTGGCACTACCAGATACTACCACTGCAGCCATTCTGAGTGTCAGCCTGGGAGGGGAAGCAGAGTATTCCTCCTTTATTTATTTATTTATTTTTTTTCCCTGGGTCTTTTGCTGCACCCTTAGTCCCTGTCAGTTCACCGAGTTCCAAGACTCTTCTAATTCACTCATTCTATTCTACAGCTGCTGGTATACATGAGGACAGTGCTGTAACGGAATTGTTGCACTCTAGTCCTCTCAAGAGCTCTTCAGTCAGTGACCAGCTTAACTTGGGAAGAGTGACTTTCTAATATTCCAATTTACACTTAAAGTGCACATGTGTATGTATGTGCACGCACATCCACAAGCGCTCAATCACACAGACCACGCAACTAGGTCTGCTGCTAGCTGAAGTGGCAATCTCTGCACACTCGGTACATTTGAACACGTTGAGCACAGGGAACTTGTCTTATATAATATGTCTTATTTGTAGCCCTGCACATACACAGATTTTATAAATAACTAGCTGATGCTAAAATACAKAGAGAGTATTTGTCACGTTGCGGTTTCTGAGGTAAGAGGACAAAGCTCCAAATGGTTCATGCTTACAGGTACACAGGAGATATTTTTAAAAAGCTCATGGATACAATTCTTCAGTTCTCTAATAGTTTGGGAAGCCATCAACCACAGTAATTTTTAAAAAGAGTGTTCTGACCACTCTAAGTTGTTGCTAGTAAACATGGCAATTTGTTAGGAGATTTTATGTTTGCACATAACAGCACTGTGCTTTTTTTAAAAAAAAAAAAAAAAAAAAAAAAAGCCTCTTGACATTTTATGGATTTACAGTCTTGGACCAGATGCTGCAAACATTTCAAGATTTCCAGCTCTCTGCTGTCACATAGACTTCAGTGGGAACACACATGATAATAAAGCCTTGTGGTGAAGACCACTAAGGCTTCATCTGGATTCCGCTTAGCAAAAATAGAAGATGCTCACTTGTGATGGGATGACACATCTTTTGCTGTCATTTTAAAAATTAGCCAAATTATCTGGCAGGTATAGAGATTGGTAAATAAAATCACTGGACAAAAGGACTTGCAACTTGAACTGCTAAYGCTACAAATATGAAGCATTTCTTTTTCTTTTACAAATTCTGACTGGTTTGTGGCGCTGCGGGTTCTTAGGCTACGGAAATGAGATGGGCTCGGGGGGACAGGGCTCTCGGAGCCTGCGGGTCATTAACAGGGGGTTTGGAGCAGCGGGATCAGGGGCAGAACCCAAGGGCGCTCCCACGCTTCACCCCGTCTCCCCGCGCCCTCCACGGCGCCCAGGCCWCGCGGGGCCTTTCAGCGCCGGGACCCCCGCGCGGAGCCCAACTGCGCATGCGCCATAACGCCCGCCGCGCGCGCCCCCCCCCCACGACCGTTCCCGCCGCCGCCGTTTGAACCGGCCCCGACCGCCCTCCCCTTTCCCCCCCGCCGCCCGCGCGCCTTCTCACCGAGCGGGCTCCGGCCTCGCTGCAGCCCGCGCCTCTGCCCCCGGGGCGGGCCGAGCGCGGCCCCGCGGCGCTAGGCGGCAGCTGCCAGCCCAGCGGCGGCCGCGGCTCCGGCGGTGCCGAGGCGGAGGCGCCGCCTCAGTGCGCGGCGCCGCTTCCCGCCTCGCCGCCGCCCGCCGCCGCCATCTTGGAGTGAGAGACAAGGCCGACGCCGGCGGCAAGGAGCGGCCAGCCGAGCGCCGAGCGCCGAGCCTCTCCAACGCGGGGGAGGCGGGGAGCCGCGGGGAGCGCCGAGCGTGGTGATCGCGCAGGCGCCGTGCGTGTGGCGGAGGGGCKGGGGGGAGGCAGGACATATAGAAACATATGGAAACATGAAATACTTTCCTGGAGCAAGTGATGATGGGTTTCCTGGAGCAAGTCTGTAGGCCAAGGAGAAGCAATTGGTTGGAAAAAGCGATTGTTTTTAGCACGGTTGGGAGAAGCGAGGTGCAGCCTGAAGGAACAGAGGTGCAGGCTGGCTTGGAAATCAAAAGCCTGAATGAGGCCCGTGTTTGAGGATTGCAAATGTTTGGTAAAGGTAGCTAGTAAAAACGCAGACAGGGGTGCTTGATGTTCTGCAGCCTTTAGGAAGGCTTTCAGCTCCCCTGCGGCTTCATGGTTTCAGCACTGAGTGCTCCAGAGGTATCAGATTGTGTCAGTGATTGCGTGTGGGAGAGACAGGGTGAGTTTGCAGGCGAATTTGTGAAAATGAGCAGATACTTCCACATAAAGCCACTGAAGAATGGAGTAGTCGCATCCCCCCCTCTGCAATCCATCCAGGTTCCTCCCACAGAACACTCTTAATACTAATAATACTACTGGAAACACAATGTAGTCTCAAACTGCAATTTTCACCATTGCCGAAAGGCTCAGGAAAAAAAAAATCCCATTCCCAGGGCTAATACGAAGAGCCACTGGCATTCCCTGGCTGGTTTCAAACAGCTTGGCCTTTTCCCTTTCTAGAAAATCAGGATTCCTTCAGAATATACACCTAGAATATATAGGTCAAGTGGGGAAAATGTCGACAGTGATAGCACATTTTAAGAGATTCGCTGCCTCCCAAAATGCGTAACACCTCACAGAACTGCATCTTTGTACTGTTGAATTGGAAAGGTCAGGAGAGAACAGAAAAGGCAAGCAGTCCACGTAGTTTCAAAGATGTCAAGGGCAGCATCAGTTAATCTGAGGCTATTGTGAGGATATTTCCCATTCCTTTTGTTCTGAACATCCGGCATCCTTTGGCCCACRTGCCAGGAAGAGAGGCTGCTAACAGAATATTCAGTATCTTCCTTCAGACGTCTCCTTGGCAAAGTGTACRCGTTGTGTGAAATGCTGTTACCTGCGCAGACATTTTGGGATGTGGGTATCCTCACTTAAGTTTGATGCAAGGTTAATCGTGTGCTAAAGCCTGCTGCCCATTAAGGTGACCAATGCGGTTTTGCTAGTCCTAAATATATATATATTTATATATATATATATAAAAATATATAAATATTCCTATTGATGCTTGTTTGCCTGTTTTCTCCTGCTTCTACTGCTTAAGATGCAAATTTCTAGATTCAGCAGCTCTCCTTTTCTTTCACGCTTGTTTAGTACTTAGCTTGSTGAGTTCTCGAGTAATTGGATATAAAAATAATTGATAATAACCATGAGCACAAGCCTACAGCGAAGTTATGTACAAAATTAAATACAGACCTCAGTGCTTTATGAACAATTACCAATTCTCCCTGTCACAGTTTGCAACTCAGAAATCTATTTTTGTTCTTGAATCATTTTCCATACTTTTCCCCCCTAAATTTGCAAACAATTTGGCACTACCTGGAAGGGGACTTGGATGTTCCCTATTTCTCCACCAAAAACCGGTTTTGTTTTGCACAGACAGTGCTCCTCTTCTATGTGTACACTACAACATTTGTAAATTACCAAACTGCCATTAGAAGGCAGCATAACATACTAGATTTTGGTAAACTCCAAGAGAAATAAATAAATTTTAAAAGGCTTGTGGGCATGAATATGGAGAAAGTGGCTTTAACATTGCAGTGGAGTTCAGATAAAGTAGATATTGAGTGCCAAGGACCTCCGCCCAGTAGTTTCAGTAGTGTTTTGTTTATTTTGTTTTGTTTTAATAAACAAGACTACTGAGTCCTTTTTGAATGTAAGGGCTTGCATCCTCAGAGAAGCGAAACTTCACAAGATTTATATGCATTGCTTCAGTATTTGGGATCTACTTAAATTACTTCCCGTTTGTCTTCGGTTCCTGCAGGAAGCATCCGTTTTCTTGCCTCTTCATCTGGCGCTGTAGTCACTAATGAAGCCAGGAGCGTAGCTGTGTCATTTGTAACTCGGTACAACAGCCTGAACATCCCCTGGAGCCGCAGCATCTGTCACAGTGGACATGCTCAACATGCTCATTCTCCCCCTGTTCCTAGCGCTGCACCTTCTGTATCCGCACTCTGCGAGAGGCAGAGCTGGGTGGGAGCCAGGCTCCGTGCCCATCTGGAGGGGGATCAGTACAGCAGGATATGTGGAGTGCAGAGTGGGAGAGGAAAGCTGAGTTGGGTCATGCGAATGGAAGGAGGAAATGTTGGTGATAGGAATAAAGGAAAGACTAAACACAGGGAATCTGTCAGATTTGCCTCTTTCCRCTAAGGTTGACTTCCTCCTAAGTAGCTTCACATCTCAGCACACGCCAGGAAGAAAGAAGTGGTTTAATGTGAGTTTCATAGTGCCATGCAAAGCCTGTTTTAGCTGACCATCTCTTTCTCTATGCCTGTTCCATGGGGTCCTTGCTGATCTCTGCTGACTCTTAACTCCTCACAGCTCCAGTCCCTTGAAACTTGATGGATTCAGTCTTATCTGGATTCTTGTTTTACCTTTTTTCTTTTTTTTTCCCCTGTATCTGGGGATTTACTTCTTTCTTGCTCTCACACCTTAAGTCTCTATATCACAGCCCTACTCTGCAATACTGGCCTTTTCTTCTTTTGAGAGAGACCTACATGATCCTTCACCTGTAGGAAAAAAAGCCAATAACTGCTGGCACTGCATTTGCTCTATACACATCTGGGAATATACACAATATATACACATATCAGGGAAATTACAGTGCAAAGCAGGACTGTGCTATCCTGTAGACTTAAATATGAGCGCTTTTAAACAAAAATGGCTTAGAGATGGCAGAGTTGCAGATGAGAGAGGCCCTAGTGGTGTATCAATAGAAAAGCACTGCCGCTCGAAAAGCACTGCCGCTCGAATGTTAGCTATCTGGCCTTGCTAGAGCTCCAAGGATAAGCAGCTAGTGCTGGGAAGCAGTTTGTGATGTGAGGTGATGTGTGTGAATGTGATTCGTGCTGCCAGCTCACTCGTAGCTGGTGGATGGTGTTGAGAGGTTGCGAAATGGAGATCGGCCTTGAGGAAATGGGCTTYCTGAGCTGCAGGGCAAGCATCATCACTGCTCATGGCTCCGACCTTGACTGCATCCTTGCCTGGAAGGCAAAAGTTACGTCAGTTGCTAAGTTACATCAATAGCTTAAATGTCTTGCCAGCCCGTGTCTAAATGTAAGGACAATCTCACTGACACCGGTGTGGGAGCCAGCTGCAAAGACCATAGGTAAAGTACTAAGRTGACCTGCAGTTGCTGCCCTTTTGGAAGGAAAGACAACCCTATCTCTTGCAATAGTGTAGACTGGTTACTGTTGTTTTGGTAGACTTGGCCTGCATCCTGCTTCCCTGGGTAAGGATGTGGCTGGAGATGTTGGGAGTTGCCCCTGAGCAGCTCAGTCTGCAGAGCGTGCAGAGACAGGCTGGCAACACRGCTGTGCTGCCTGCAAAACACCTGAGATGCCTTCTGGGCTAAGGCCAACACAGGCAGGAGGCTGGCGTTAGCCCAGGAGGGCTCTGATCTGTGGAGTCRCTGCAAGGGTAAGAGCAAGGGTTGACATGTGGAATGGGCTTCAGATCCTCAAGTTTGGAGTCATGGCGAAGGCAATAAGAAAATGCGCTGGGGCTGGGTAAGTTAGAAAAACAAAGTGTATCTATCTTGTACACCCACATGCATTATGGAGTGGTATGTTTGGGAGAAAGTGCTGCAGTAGGACATTTTAKATATGACTACAGTTTACAAAACCACTTTATTTGCATTTATTTCAGGATCATGGGACTAGGCAAGATGATCTGGGTCACCAAGTGCTATTCTATACTAATGCAGGCACACTGACATATAATCTCTACTGTAAAACGGAGCTATTTTTATCTTAAAAACAATCAAATCTTTGCCCCCAACAACACCCACTGAGAGACCATTCCAGAATCTCGTTCCTCTGATCATTAGACACCATCTTCTGATTACCCAGCTAAAYGTATTCATGCCTAGCTTACATCCATTTGTACCTATGCCAGCTTTTCCTTTTAGCTAATGTAATTGTTGTCTGTTGTTGGTGTTTATGCTCTGATGTATTTATAGAGAGACGTCACATCCCCTCTCCATACTCATTTTGCGAGGCTAAACAAGGCATGCTCTCCTCATTTTCTCTTCTCTGGCGGGATCCTTTTCCCTCTCGCCATGCTGGCAGCATTGCCCTGTGCTTGCTTCACATTCAGCTCTTTCCTGGAGCTGGGTGACTGGCAACRGGGGTGTTTTGCTCAGAGGTGTCACCAAAGCCTTATTCAATTATTTTATTATGCCCCCCACTCTGTGGGAAATAATTCCATTTATGTGACAAAAGCTAGGTGTTCTGTTAAAAACTTTGGATTCAGCATTCTGATCAATCCTTTCTCTTCACACTCAATCCTCCTRATGAATTTTACAAGGACATTAATGGATTAGGGCATAAAATATACATAAAGAAGACTGTGTTGAACACAGTTGCAGGTGTCTGAGTAGCCTATAAGTCATAMCATGTTGTAAAAAAGCAATGCCAGTCAAACAGACTGCATTATACTTTCTCCCGTGGCCATAGGAAGACAGAGCAAACAGCAACATTCGCAGTTACCTTTTTTGGGCCAGGCTGTAGAGC